TTATATGTCCCTGAGAGAGATTAAATTTTGTAAAATTCTCAATAAAAATAAGAAATAAGGTTGGGCCGAGTATACTCCCTTGTGGTACGTCGTGTGTTCATAGTGAATCATTGCTGGTAATATTATTTACACTAAAGCATTGATATCTCTCAGAAAGATAACTTTTGAATAGTTTGAGTTGAGTGCCTCTGATATCGACATTTTCCAGTCTTTTTAATAGTATTTTATTGACACGGTATCGAGCGCTTTCGCCAAATCTAAGAAAACAGAAATACACTTTTTTCCACTTTCTAAATACGATGACAAAAGATTTGTAAGAGTATGAACGGCGTGCTCTGTTGATTTGTCATGTCTAAAACCAAACTGCGTATTTGATAATAAATTATTTTTCTCCAGATATTTTGTAAGTCTATTATTTATAATTTTCTCTAAAATTTTGGATAATGCGGGTAATATAGAGATAGGTCTATAATTACTTAAACAGGTTTTTTCACCATCTTTAAAAATAGGTCGAATTACGGACTTCTTAAGATATCTAGGGAATACACCATCATTTAAACATTGATTGAATACACAAGTTAAAGGAGGTATTAACAAATATTTAAAATTTTTAATAAATTTATTCGAAATTCCATCCCAACCAACTGAACAGTCGGTTTTCAAATTGTCAATAAATTGTTCTACTTCCCTTTCATCCGTGTCCAATAAAGCAAATGAATTTAAGTAATAATTTGATTCTTCACCAGTGTTAATATTAAAACATTCGCTGTTTTTATTTCCTACCTTAAAACTCTCTGCCAAACTTTTACCTACATTTACAAAATAATTATTAATAAGGTTAACAGATACTTGCGGCGTACTAGATATATTTAACAGTTCTCTGTTATACGATTTCTTTTTGATGTTACCTATAATATCAGTAAGTACTTCCCATAGCTTCTTATTATTATTTTTAGCCATATTCACTCGCTCTTTTTCATAATTTCTCTTTACCTTTTTTAACAATGCGTTACAGTGATTACGATATCGTCTTTATATAATTTGATCACTTTCACTATCTGGAAATCGCCTAGCCCTCTCATGTATTTTCACGGTGACGAATACATCTAAGAAGACCAGTCGTAATCCAAAGTTTAATGATATTTTTTTGTCTTGGCAACTTCCCTAATTTAGTATTAACTTCAATTAATGTTTTTATTTTATTAACTAAGTATTCAAGAGAAGTATTTGGATCTTTAATGTTATATATAGGTAAAAAGTTAATGTTTTGCATATCCGAATTAAGTTTATCGTGATCTATTTTCCTGATAGTAGTTGTATAAAACTGTTGACGTTGTTTAATTTTCATCCATAAAATTACAGGATTGTGATCAGTGATTTAAGTTTGAGGAACCATAGTAAGTAAAGGATTATTCATTTTTAGCTGAACATGATCAATACACGAACCACTTGCGTCACGTGTTACTAGAGTATGAGTGGGTAACAACCCATGGAATGCTGTCAGTTGTAAATACTTATCCGAATTAATATCTGTTTTATTGTTAATGTTAATATTTATATCTCCTATTATAATTATGTATTTATGTTTCGAATATTTCTGTAGTACACTACCCAAGAAGGCAAAAAAGTTTTCTACATTTTTATATGACGGTGACCTATATATTGAGATTATAACAATATCATTCAATGTTGTTATGATACAATTCCCTTCTTGAAAATGAGGCTACTCAGTCGTGAACAAATGTTTTTCTTTTACATATATTTCTAATCCGTCATTTTGGTTGTTATTAAAATTACTGGAGCATAAATTATAACCAGTAATTTTAGGTAAGTTGTCCCTATTAAGCAACCAGCATTCACTTAGTACAATGACATCAAAATCTATTTTTAATCTAGTCAGTAATACTTCAAAATCTGTAATATTGCAGTTAATACTTCGTATATTCTGCCTAATAATTGTGAAGTTGGATTCACTAGATGACAAATACTTATATCAATCTTCAACGTCACAGGCTATCGATCTTGATACCGTAAATTTATCTAAGTTAATAGTGAAGCTTAGAGCGTTATTATCGCCTTTTATTGATTACTTTAAATTTCTCTAACAAAGTCTCGTTATTGACCAAATAATATCTTTTATTCGATAAATTGATTGAAAAATGTAACTGTAAGTAGTATATATAAAATGAGTGAATATGATTTATTATAAATTGTAAGTGTGATTTAAAAGATGTAATTAAGGTGTATAATGTTTGATTTTTGTTTATGTACTGTGTGTAAATTGTGACAAAGTGTATTATAATTTATAGTGTTAGAATATACTTTATTCTTATTATGCTAGTTAAAAATAAAAGAAAGGATGCGAAAATATCTAATCTAAAAGTTAAAACTAGTCATTCGGTCTTCCGTAGATTTTCTAGATCTGTTTCATTATTTATTCTAATTTGAGAAGAATTTTCATTCTTGCGTAAGTATACAATGCCTCTAGATGTCCAGCAGAATAAATATTTATGTCTTTTTTGGAAAATTCTGGCCTGATAGAAAAGTTTTTTAGTATTTTGTGTTAACGTCTCCGTGACATATATAGGGATGTTTTTTTCTGAGTAATTTAGATGCGAAGTATTTAATTTCTCAATTTTTGGTTTTGTTTTATTATATTTTTTTACTTCATGTAACATCTTTTCTTTAATAATGACTGAATTAAATTCCACTATTATCGGTCTAGTCCCCGTCTTAGAATTAGTTCTATACACGTCTTTTATGTCCGAATCCTGCAAATTTACAATCAAACACTCCCCCTAATTTTTTAACAGTGCTACATAGATTTTCTTTTGATTCTTCATTGTTTTTAGGTATGTTTCTTATTTCTATTCCCGAAAATCTGGACTTCCTTTCCATATTTTCTATTTTCTCCTGTAGTTGTTGTATAATATATCTATCCTGCCTTTTCTTTGCCTCTAGAACGGATATCCGTGATAGAAACTCATCATACTTGCTTGACATAGTATCGACGCTCTTTTTTATACTAGAAACTATAGTTTGTAAATCTTTGAAATGCTTTGCTTGTTCATTCGTATAAACTGAAAACATTTCACTCATATAAGACATAATGTTAGGATTCACTCCGTCATGTTTCCTTTTTTTACGCTCAGTAACATTTAACGTAAGCGATGGAATATCAGGCGCCGATTCACTGTGAAGTTTTGTCGTCCGTTCTATCGCGTCGATTGCGCGCGTCCAAGTGGGCGAAGCGGGCGGCGGTGTACGGTTGATCGGCATTGTATAATCGGCTTTGAAGTAAAAGACGCATCGACGTTTAATTACCACGATAATATGAGTTAGAAAGTGTGATCGCAGTATATTTGCGAACTCGTACCCCTAATGCAACCGTACAAGTAAAATATAACCGTCTCTCTTCTTATCGTTTTACTAACGTGTAGTGTCTTATTCTGTGTCCTATTTATTTGTTGATTGTAAATGTGATGGTTTTACTCATACATATAATTTAGTTTGTTGAAAATTAATCACTGCCGCAGATGTCATTAGCACTTCGTAAACTGCCTCGGGCTTTATGCACTCCTAATATTTTATCACTATTTTGTCACAGCATTTATTAGAAAATACAAGTAATAAAATAAACTATAAACACGTCTTTACTGTTTGGAAGTCCGGGGGGAAGGGGCTGACTATTTCATACCAACCTCATCGATAGCGATGTTCTGTGACACACCCAGGTATCTGTATGTTTCAGCCTCGGAAAGGGTCCTTAAACTGATGGGCATACACAAGTCTATGCCCTCATAGTTAGCAACCCTTCCCCTTTTAACATGGAGGACCGCACACTTATCCGTCTCCAGCTTTATTCCAATAGAATTGCTAAATTCTCAAGTGATGTTTAGCAATTCCACAAGGAGGCAGCGACTGGAGGCGAATAACTTAAGGTCATCCATATAAAAAGGTGGGTCACTTTTTTACCTCCTTTCCGAAGCTGAAAACCCCTCCCGGAGCCCTCCAGTAAAGTACTGAGAGGGTACAAAGAGAGGCAGAACCAGATTAGACTCAGACAATCGTCCTGGAAGATACCCCTTCTTATCATGATGTGGCTTTCCGCAGCCATCATCCGCTCGCCCAGATGACAAAGGATCGTATTTCACTAACCCATACACTGCTTGAGGAAGTCTCTAACTGTACAGTCTATCTTGTACAGCTCGAAGATTCTCTTAGCCATGTATGGGGCACCAAGTTGAATGCCTTTCTGTAGTCTATCCAGGCGGCGGAGAAGTTCCGACGGTTGCGTTTCACCACTTTGCCAATGATCGCGTCAATGAGAAGTAGTTCCTTGGTTCCACGACCACCGCCCTGACATCCATTGTGTGTGCGCGACATCACCTGATTTGAGTCCAGGTGATGAGTGATTCTCGCGCTCAAAATGGATGTTAGTGTCTTGTATATGGTCGGTAGAGACGTGATGGAGCGGTATTTGCTTGGGTCTATGGTATTCTGGTCTTTAGGAACCAAATGAGTGATCCCAGTAGTGAAGAGGCTCGGGAGCAATTTCTGGTTGAGAGCCTCTTGGAACTATCGGGCGAGCACAGTGTGACACACCACAAACCCCTTCAGCCAGTAGTGATGCAGCCCGTCGAGTCCCGGACTTTTCCAGTTCGGGGCCATACGGACCGCCTCAGCTACGTCATCCGGCGTTATAATGACGGGGTTCATGGGCGTTATATTCGCACACTGACTCGCCACAACTTCCGTTCAAGAGCCCTCGCTGTGGTTTACGGACTCTGACCACAGGCCACGCCAGAACGTTACATTGTCGGCCTGATTCGGTGCTGGGCCCGTTCCACTTGCCATTGGTCGCTCCAGTGATTTATAAAGCCTCTTCTGATCGCTCTGGAAGAGACGATTCTGGTTGAACCGAGTCGACCTCTCAGTATATCGCCGAATCCACTTTCCCCAAGCAGCGATTCTCTGCTTCAGATCATCTGTGCGCTCTGTCAGTTTTGCATTATATCTGGCTGGGACAAACTGACATTTGTCCCTGCAAATGCCATCCTGACGGTGCGCACAATTCTTGGCCTGTTATTTCCTGATCTGAAGCATATCAGTCTGCCGATGAGAGTTCTAGACTTTGCGATACACTTCTCAATTCTTTTTCTCCATGCTGGGATAGCAGTACTTTGGCCAGTAGCGCATCCAGCCGTGGAAACCTTGGCGCCTATGATACGGCAGACTGCCAACGCGGCGCCAAAAAGAATTGAGTCCGTATCGCAAAGGTCCTGGCTGGCTTCCAAATAGGTCACCAGCATTGGGTTCAGAGCCCTCACGAAGTCCGATTCCGCTTGCTTAGGGCTATGCGGGGAAGTCGCGGTCGATTTTCGAGAGGCGTTTTGCGCGTTTCCATAATCTCCTCTAGAAGAGGCGATTATAATAATAATAATAAATCATTTATTCATCAAGTAACACAGACTCATATGGGTATAATTATATCACCAGTCACATTACAAAAATTACATTACATTAGGTTCATTAAATTAAATTGAAATCAAAATAAAAATTAAAATATTAAAATAATCAAATTAAAATCTCAATCAATATATCATAAATCAATGTAAAAGTAATTAAAAACAATAAACACTCACAATAAATACCTAATCTTCCCTTCACATGTCATATTAATTCCTACTGTGCACAATGTGTAGGCCACAACAATGTTTGATGTAGGGGCAATCTAGTCTACTTGCTATCGCGGTCAGCATGCTGTTGTGGCTCCCCCGCACTCGCCGTACCAGTGACGCTGCTCGCTTGCGCATTGTAGTGTGAAAACAGTCCACACGTGCACACGCGAACATCGTCGATGCACTACAGTACCGGGGGGAGCCCCACCAACATCCTGAACGCGTTATTAAACTGGACGCGTAGGGCACCGTACGATATTTGCGCATAGTCAGTCCACAGGCTGCAGCTGTAAAAAGGAAGTGCAATAAGCTTTGAAAAGAGTTACTTTCACTCCCTCCGAACACCGTGCAAACCTCCGGACCACCATGTTCGCTCTGACCGACAGCGCCCTCCGCTCCCGCTCAATGTCAGCATCGTCTCTCAGTGTGGGGGTGACAATATGGCCTAAGTATTTAAACTCATATACTCTCTTTAACGGTATTCCATTAAGTAGAATAGAAGGCATCTCCGTCACCTTATTAGAACCACTCTGAAAGACCATACACTGGCTCTTTTTACAATTATAGATCAGCCCCTGACCAGCTGCATAATCCTCACACGTTCTCAGAAGCTTTCTGAGTCCACAGACCGAGGCGCTCAGCAGAACCATGTCGTCCGCGTAGCTAATGTTATTGAAACAAACGCCATCTATATGACAACCGACATGGTGCTTGCTGAGCGCCTCAATCAGTTCATTAACGTACAGGTTGAATAAAGAAGGAGAGCTCAACCCACCCTGCCTCACACCACACTCCAGCCTGTATTGGTCTGACATAGTGCCCGCCCACTTCACGCTGTTACTTTGGTTCCCGTACCAAAACTTGAAAATGTGTACTAGTTCATCCGGTATATGGGCTTCCTTCATCTTCCTCCATAGTATGTCATAAGACACAAGGTCGAATGCCTTCGAAAGGTCAAGGAAACAAGCGTAAACAGGTGTTTTTCTTGTAGTGTAGTATTTGACAGCACTCTTCAAACACAATATAGCAATTCAGTGGACAGCCCCGAACGAAACCCAAACTGACTGTCCTTTAACTGTATGTGTTGATTTAAATGTGTATTGAGAATGCTGTCAAACACTTTTGCTATTATAGTTGCCAGGGATATAGGTCTATAATTAGATATGTCTGACAAATCTCCCGCCCTATTTTTCACCACTGGTACCACAACAGTTTTCATCATATCCGCGGGCAGGTAAGAGTGAGATATGCAAAGATTGTACAACATGGACAACACCCTAGATATATGAGGCCCAGCGTGTTGTACATGTTCCACACTCAACCCATCATGCCCGGGGGGATTTACCCTTTGAGATAGATTGTATTGCTTTCAACACATCTTTAGTTTTTATTCGGGTATTTAGATACTCCCCGCTCACCCCTCCTGTAGCCTGTGATATTGACGGTCCCAGAGGTGATTTGACAATAAAATTGTTTTTAAATTTGTCAGCTATACCCTTGAGGTCATTTGTTCCATCCACAGTCACAGGAAAACCAGGCCTACTCCTCAGATGGTTAGTATTTTTCCAGAAACCTGTGAAGTCCTTTTTGCAATGTTTGGAGGCAAGTATGTCCATTTTTATCTGGTCTTGGTGGTTTTGACACCACCTAAGACGTGATTTAAATATTTTCTTACATTCATACATCTTTTTGTATACATCTCCTTTGGTAGGACGCCCACACAGCAACCACTCCTGAAGACTCGCCCTGGCCCTCCCGTAACTGTCACTGACATGTTTATTCCAGCCAGCAATATATTTAGCGCGGCAATCCAGCTTACTCTGCTTCCGCTCGCCCCCCCCGGCCCTCCGCGGCGGCTTGTGATAAGGCGAGCACGATGTCAGAGTACAATTTATCGACGATAACTAGGTGTTTTGGGTCATTACAATATTTATCCGCACATTTTACAAATTCAGACGGAAAATCTATCAACCTAAGACGTTTATGACATTCAGTTCTATAAAAAGAAATTTGGTCTGATGTTCTTTCCCCCCAAACCAATTTATTAACAGTATTAATAGGAGTAATTTTAATAGGAGTCAGGCATCCCAAATTACATTCACAAATAACAGGAAAATGATCCGACCATAGTATGTCATACTTGACATACACACTGCCCACAGAGGACTCCGCTGATTGCGACAACACACAATGATCCAACCAACGCTTTGACCCACTAGCTGGATCTATGTAGGTAAAAGTATCAGAAGTCAATCCCAACATTTTTATATCTACAGGTACCCATACAAACTCATTACATATACTTTTTAGTTCCTTAAAAAATAATTCATTCGGATGAGCGTTAAAATCCCCTAACACGTAAATAGGTTCGTTACTATATTCATTACTGATAGCACTTACAGTTCCCAAGCAGTCCGTGAATATAGGCAGGTTGACTAATTTATTGACCGGCATGTACACAGACACCACAATAAACGGACTCACTGTCGTGACGACACGTATAGCACTCACTCTCGGATTATCGCAACTTATTACCGTAACACTAGGAAACACAGTGGTATTCCACAGCAGCGCTGTCCCTCCGTACGGTCTTCCGCGTAATAACCCTGCTGCCGTATCCACAGCCGACGTCCCGGTGCTGCTGAATCTGCTATCTATGCTACTTAAAAATGCCAGTTCATCTGGCAGCAGCCACGTCTCCTGCAGCGCTATCACCACGCACTCATCACATAATTGACAGACATCGCTGACCGCCCTCTTGACGTTTTTACAATTATAAGTAGCAAACTTGTATGTTATGGAAACACGCATATAATTTCATTTTTTTTCAATTTTCAATTTCATAGCAATTCTATTGGAATAGAGCTGGAGACGGATAAGTGTGCGGTCCTCCATTTTGATAGGGGAAGGGTTGCTAACTATGAGGGCATAGACTTATGTATGCCCATCAGTTTAAGGACCCTTTCCGAGGCTGAAACTTACCGATACCTGGGTGTGTCACAGAACATCGCTATCGATGAGGTTGTCAGCCCCTTCCCCGCGGACTTCCAAAGAGTAAAGACGTGTTTATAGTTTATTTTATTACTTGTATTTTCTAATAAATGCTGTGACAAAATAGTGATAAAATATTAGGAGTGCATAAAGCCCGAGGCAGTTTACGAAGTGCTAATGACATCTGCGGCAGTGATTAATTTTCAACAAACTAAATTATATGTGTAAATAAAACCATCACATTTACAATCAACAAATAAATAGGACACAGCATAAGACACCACACGTTAGTAAAACGATAAGAAGAGAGACGGTTATATTTTACTTGTACGGTTGCATTAGGGGTACGAGTTCGCAAATATACTGCGATCACACTTTCTAACTCATATTATCCTGGTAATTAAACGTCGTTGCGTCTTTTACTTCAAAGCCGATTATACAATGCCGATCAACCGTACACCGCCGCCCGCTTCGCCCGTGCCTGTGAGCTCTGATGATACATCGCCATCGCAGACATCGCGGACGCGCGCAATCGACGCGATAGAACGGACGACAAAACTTCACAGTGAATCGGCGCCTGATATTCCATCGCTTACGTTAAATGTCACTGAGCGTAAAAAAAGGAAACATGACGGAGTGAATCCTAACATTATGTCTTATATGAGTGAATTTTTTTCAGTTTATACGAATGAACAAGCAAAGCATTTCAAAGATTTACAAACTATAGTTTCTAGTATAAAAAAGAGCGTCGATACTATGTCAAGCAAGTATGATGAGTTTCTATCACGGATATCCGTTCTAGAGGCAAAGAAAAGGCAGGATAGATATATTATACAACAACTACAGGAGAAAATAGAAAATATGGAAAGGAAGTCCAGATTTTCGGGAATAGAAATAAGAAACATACCTAAAAACAATGAAGAATCAAAAGAAAATCTATGTAGCACTGTTAAAAAATTAGGGGAGTGTTTGATTGTAAATTTGTAGGATTCGGACATAAAAGACGTGTATAGAACTAATTCTAAGACGGGGACTAGACCGATAATAGTGGAATTTAATTCAGTCATTATTAAAGAAAAGATGTTACATGAAGTAAAAAAAATTAATAAAACAAAACAAAAAAATGAGAAATTAAATACTTCGCATATAAATTACTCACAAAAAACATCCCTATATATGTCACGGAGACGTTAACACAAAATACTCAAAAACTTTTCTATCAGGCCAGAATTTTCCAAAAAAGTCATAAATATTTATTCTGCTGGACATCTAGAGGCATTGTATACTTACGCAAGAATGAAAATTCTTCTCAAATTAGAATAAATTATGAAACAGATCTAGAAAATCTACGGAAGACAGAATGACTAGTTTTAACTTTTAGATTAGATATTTTCGCATCCTTTCTTTTATTTTTAACTAGCATAATAAGAATAAAGTATATTCTAACACTATACATTATAATACACATAGTCACAATTTACACACAGTACATAAACAAAAATCAAACATTATACACCTTAATTAAATCTTTTAAATAACACTTACAATTTATAATAAATCATATTCACTCATTTTATATATACTACTTACAGTTACATTTTTCAATCAATTTATCGAATAAAAGATATTATTTGGTCAATAACGAGACTTTGTTAGAGAAATTTAAAGTAATCAATAAAAGTCGATAATAACGCTCTAAGATTCACTATTAACTTAGATAAATTTACGGTATCAAGATCGATAGCCTGTGACGTTGAAGATTGATATAAGTATTTGTCATCTAGTGAATACAACTTCACAATTATTAGGCAGAACACTATTACGAAGTATTAACTGCAATATTACAGATTTTGAAGTATTACTGACTAGATTAAAAATAGATTTTGATGTCATTGTACTAAGTGAATGCTGGTTGCTTAATAGGGACAACTTACCTAAAATTACTGGTTATAATTTATGCTCCACTAATTTTAATAACAACCAAAATGACGGATTAGTAATATACAGAAATATTCGAAACATAAAAACATAATTATAATAGAAGATATAAATATTAACATCAACAATAAAAGAGATATTAATTCGGATAAGTATTTACAACTGACAGCATTCCAAATAAATATAAAATAATAATAAGAAGCTATGGGAAGTACTTACTGATATTATAGGTAACATGAAAAAGAAAGGATATAACAGAGAACTGTTAAATATATCTAGTACACCGCAAGTATCTGTTAACCTTATTAATAATTATTTTGTAAATGTAGGTAAAAGTTTGGCAGAGAGTTTTAAGGTAGGAAATAAAAACAGCGAATGTTTTAATATTAACATTGGTAAAGAATCAAATTATTACTTAAATTCATTTGCTTTATTGGACACGGATGAAAGGGAAGTAGAACAATTAATTGACAATTTGAAAACCGACTGTTCAGTTGGTTGGGATGGAATTTCGAATAAATTTATTAAAAATTTTAAATATTTGTTAATACCTCCTTTAACTTGTATATTCAATCAATGTTTAAATGATGGTGTATTCCCTAGATATCTTAAGAAGTCCGTAATTCGACCTATTTTTAAAGATGGTGAAAAAACCTGTTTAAGTAATTATAGACCTATCTCTATATTACCCGCATTATCCAAAATTTTAGAGAAAATTATAAATAATAGACTTACAAAATATCTGGAGAAAAATAATTTATTATCAAATACGCAGTTTGGTTTTAGACATGACAAAATCAATAGAGCACGCCGTTCATACTCTTACAAATCTTTTGTCATCGTATTTAGAAAGTGGAAAAAAGTGTATTTCTGTTTTCTTAGATTTGGTGAAAGCGTTCGATACCGTGTCAATAAAATACTATTAAAAAGACTGGAAAATGTCGATATCAGAGGCACACTCAACACAAACTATTCAAAAGTTATCTTTCTGAGAGATATCAATGCGTTAGTGTAAATAATATTACCGGCAATGATTCACTAGTAACACACGGCGTACCACAAGGGAGTATACTCGGCCCAAACTTATTTCTTATTTTTATTGAGAATTTTACAAAATTTAATCTCTCTCAGGGACATATAATTTCATATGCAGATGACACTGTTTTGATATTTGCTGCGGATACGTGGAAAGATGTATTCTCGTCTGCACAATTAGGGATAAATGCAGTTACCAATTGGCTTTACAGTAATAAACTTTCAATCAATATTACGAAAACAAAATATATAGTATATTCATTAAGAAAACCTATTCGCAACCCTGAAAATTTTAACTTAGTGATTCATTCATATGATTGTTTAACAAGGGACCTGCCTTTCACTTAGTCTGTTGAATATATTAAATATCTAGGGGTTATAATAGATAGTAATTTAAATTTTAAACAACATATTAACACACTTAGCAAAAGAATTCATAAATTAATATATATTTTTAAAACTATTAGACACGTTTTGGATCCAGATGTATTAAAACGAGTTTACTTAGCTTTATGTTATGTTTATTGAGCTTAAGTCGCTGCGCTACAAATCCTATCAAAAATCTTATTGCTTCCGTAATGTGGCAGTATAATCACGTCACTTTTACACGTAAATCTACTAGCTAATTGCGACTAATAAGGCAATTCCTTCTTACACCAGGAGAAGTGTACGCCCAACTGTGACTTTAAAGGGCTGATAAAGAACAAAAAGTAACTATTTTGTTGTGGTTTGAAGAACCGCGAGTTTAAATCTAACACAGAATAAAAAAATCTTAGTATCGCCTATAGATAACTAATTCGATGTAGTGGCAGCGTAAGAATGTGCACTACCTCATTTCAACAAATGGCAGATATCATAAGAGGCGACCTAAGATCCTTCCTTCCTATGTTCAGCAGGGTAATTTTATAGGTAGTAATAAGTTAATGATTCTTGGAACCCAAGAGACCGTAGGAAAATATTTGCATATCTTTTTTTAAACATTGTTCTTGCATTAATTTGTTAAATCCATATGTCAATAAAATTTTATTAATTTATGAACAAATGGTTTCATGCCTGGATGGTCGTCAAATTTCTCGTTCCTTCGTGTTACGTTAAGAGTTCTTCTCGAGGCATAACTTTGAAACTTCTTCATTCGTAAATTTCATCACACAGACGTTTAAGTTCGTTCAGGTTTAAGAGTGCTTTAGCAAAATCACTGAGTCACTTGTGCTTTTTAAATGCTTTAAACCTGTTATTATGAGATTTAAAAAAGAAAATTATAAGAAAAAATTAAGATTTACTTTATTTGTTTTGAAAAATATTCTTGAGTAAACGTACTTTAAAATTAATGCTACTAATTTATTTATTTATTTATTTTATGCTTTATTGCATACAAATACAAAGATTTTGTACAAAAGGTGATCTTAATGCTATATGGCATTCTCTACCAGCTAACCTTGGGTAGAACAGAGAGTGAGGTATGGGGAGTAAAGTTGTCATGATCACATTCAATATATGTATATATCTCCATAAATTTATATACAATAAATGGATAAGTCACTCGCGTCCGTAGGCTTCGACCACCTAACCCTAGGCTCACCCTACACGTTTCCCCCGGGTGGTGCTAAAAGAGCGACAAAGCCGAAAGAACAGACTCGGCTACTCGCCGTGTGGTAGCGGCGTAAAATATGCCACGCCCTAGTTCTCGCACCATGAGGCAAATAGTAAAAGAAATGGCCCCGAGTTCCCGGCGCCCCTTTAATGAGGCAGGGGTGCGAAGAATCTCCGGGAGGAAAACCGGCGACGAGGTTCGCCACCCGTCACGTTCTGTCTCCCAGAGAGGCGAAAAGTGGATTGCAGAGGCCCGTCTGGCTACGTTGAATGTATGTGGGGCAATGAACGATAAAATGGATGAAGTATGCGATATGATGTATGATAGAGGAATAGATGTATTATGTGTAAATGAGACGAAAAGGAAGGGGAAGGATGTCACTGCACATGGCATGTATACCGCATACTGGTCTGGTGTAGACGAGATCGAGCGGGCATGTCAGGGAGTAGGTATCATCCTTTCAGAAAGAATGGGCCAATGTGTGAAAGAGTATGAATGTGTAAGCCCAAGACTGCTATGGATACGAATGAAAGTGGGCTTAAAGAAGTTGTTTGTGTTAGGGGTCTACGCCCCAGACATGTCTAAGTCCACTTATATCCGGGAGCAGTTTTGGGAAATGGTAAGGATGGTGTTAATGAAGTGTAAGGGAAATGAAAATATTATTATGCTAGGAGATTTTAATGGAAGAGTTGGGGTGAGGAGGCTTGGTTATGAAAGGGTATTGGGAACGTTTGGTGATGAAAGTATAAATGAGAATGGTGAAAGCCTCCTCACCGTATGTGTGGAAAGGAATCTTTTTGTGACGAACACTTTCTTTCGTCATAAGAAGATTCACATGTATACTTGGGAAAGAGGTGATGATAGAAGCATGATAGATTTCATAACCGTGGATGAAAGAATGAGGAGCGCAGTGATGGATACAAGGGTATACCGGGGGTCCAACGTAGGGACGGACCACTACCTGGTCTTATGCCGAATTAGGGGTTTATTCAGACGTTGGCGGCATAGGACATCTGTGTCTACCACTGCGTTAGAGAGTATAAGAATTGAGAGGTTACAAGATGAAGATGTGAAAGACAAGTACAAATGCAGACTGAGAGAAAATATAAGTAATTTGGATGAGTTGTGTGTGAATGAGTTAGACTTGGAGAATGTGTGGCATAATGTTAAGAAAGGTTTAGTGGATGCAGCTACCGAAGTATGTGGTGTTAGTAAGAGAACGAATTAAAGGAAAGACAATACGTTATGGTGGCATGATGAGGTACGTATGGAAGTTGAAGCAAAGAAGAGAGCATGGCTAGATTTACTAGCGACCAAAGCTGGTAATTCTGGCGGTAAGAATGATGAGAATGAAAGAAAAAAGGCAGAGTTTAAACGTTTAAATAAGAGAGTAAAAGAATTAGTTGAAAGTAAGAAGCAAGAA